ATACATATAACTCAGAAAACAGTCACATTGGTACTTGTCAGGTTTCGAACCTACACCCTCATGCATGAGAAGCAGCTCCTTAACCTCCGGGCCACCACGACATACTAGACATTCAAGTCACACCGGGACTCTTATTCATGAGCAGCGTGCGCGTCGCGGGAACCTAAGTGATGATGTGTTTGCTGACAGATGGCTGACGAGCTTAACCTGGACGTGGAGCCTGATGAAGTGAGAGCAGAATTGTGCCGGTACATCAAGAAACGGCGCCATGATCAGAGTCTACCTCCCAAGGCTTCCCATATACTCAACCAGGTGAGGAAAGTCAACAGACTCATTATGTTTTAATACAAAACTTAATTTAACTCATTTTTAATCTATAACACTAGCGACCCGAACCGGCTCCGCAAGGGTATACACTTTAAACGTCATCTTCAAACACTCTACCTATTAAAATAAAACTGTATTTAGTATGTAGTGATGATAATCTAAGAACTATATGCTAACAAAATGATAGTACAGAATAAGGATAATACCCTTGAAGTACATAACCACACAATCGTGACGTATGCAATGAGTTCACCACACGATTGTTCCTCCGAAAAATGTAGCCGGCCCACTGCCATTTAGGCTTATTCATTCCATGGGGTATGTCCAAAACTTTAGTTCTCTCTCGGACCGCATCGCTTCGAGTTCGATCACTCAATCATATCCCTCATTGTAACTTACAGCACGATCAATCGATTTACAGCCTTGAAAAATTTACGAGGGTATTGATAAGAAGCACATTCAATCAGAACTTAATGATTAAACTAGAGCATAAGTTGCTGGTCTAAATTTACAACTAACACGTTTTTGTTTATTATCAGGATTTAAAATCACCCAAGAAAAGAAAATTTCAAGACGAAGAATTCATCGTGATGAAGAATAAACTTGACCAATCTCGATCCACGTATAAGATTTGCAGTAAAGAGTTCCGTATCTTCAAGGACTACAGGACGTCGAACAGACAAAAAAACCAAATACAAACAACGTTTGATATACTGCAAAACCAAATAAAGAAATATAAAGAGTTTGCAGAAAAAAATAAACTCAATGTAGATGACAATATTTTATTTCTGGGAAAAGCAATTACTGACACACAGAAACGTCACAAGCAGAAACCTATTGAAGAAGTGGAAGTGGAACAAAGCGAAAACACTAAGGACAAATCACAAATAATAATAAAAGATAGGGAAGGAAATTATAACACAATCACATTTAAACATATGTTAAAAGACTTTGAAGTTGTCAGATCCAAACAAATAAAATCAATTCAAAAAATTAAACAAGAACTTAATATTATTAATCAAAATGAAGAGGAACTTCGTGAATTGAAATCAAAATTAAGAGAGAAGGCAGAATATATAGATAAAACAAAGAAAGAAATAGCTGAAGCTAATAATAAAAACAAGGAATTGGATGCAGAAATTACAGAATTAGAAATAAATAAAAGTCAAGCTGAAAATGAAATTTGTGAAAAACAAAATGAAATCATTGAGGCTCAAAAGAAGATACAGAGTATGAGAGAACACGTCGAAGAAATAAGGCAATCATACAAGAAACAAAGCAAAAACTACAATGATGAAATGCAAACAATTCAAGAAGAGATAGCTGCGATAAACGCGGATTTAAATGCAAAAGAACTGAAATTAGAAGCTGAAAGAAACAAAAGAGACAACATCATAAAGGAAATTTGCGATAAGGAAAAAAGTATTAACGAACTAAGAAAACTTGTAGAACATTTGCAAAATTCTAACAGAATTAAGGGAAATGAACTCTGTGACAAAATGCGATTTAAAAATGAATTGCTAGCATTCGGATTTCAAACAGCGAAAAAGTTAGAAAAACTAAACAAAGAAATAGCTGAAACTGAAAATAGAAATTTAATAATGAAACAAGAAATGATCGAGAAGGCAAATAAATATGTAAGGATGAATCAGGTACTAAATAACATTAAAAAGTTTGCTGAAGCAAGATTTCGTCAATCGCAAAACTCAAGACAGCCGAACAACAGTCTTGTTCCTTTGTCGAGCGCAACCATAGCACAGCAGCTGCAACCGACGCCGGGAACTAGCGGCATCCGTGACGCTGTGATCAGAGGACAAGCACCACTCCTATTCCTACCTACCTACCACTCATAAAGCTAGCCTGGCTAAGGACCCTGCCAACAATAAGAAGACAGCGTGGCTTCGCTTCTGGTAAGTGTCGGCTTGTCACGTAAACGTGTCAACAATCAGTGCAACAACGAGTCTACAGCCACAACATTCACAAGCAAATGACAGTTTTGAAAAATCAGTGCAAACAATATTCGCTCCCGTAATATCATACCTTAGATGTACCTGATTGCGTTTTGTTTAATATTAACGTAATTTAAGTATAAATTGTTTTTATTATTTAGCATTTACTAGATGTTGTAGTAGTTATAAATATTTTAGTTGGTAATATATTATCTTTATGTCCATGGAGTTTCTTGCCGGTTCTTCTCCATGAGGGTTGAGTATTGCGGAACCGTGCACACTTTCACATTTAGCCAAAGACTCAATTGACAGCACTTTTTTATATTTTCATTTCGTTAAATACCTAACCTAACGTGACATCACTACTTATAACAGAATATTTATTTAAGATTTTCTCGATTTATAGTTATATTATAAGTATTTTAGTCATTGCTCAGTATGTCAGCGCCAGACCTCCTACGGATGTAGTTTTGTCATCAAACTGTAATTATAACAAACTAGCATTTTTTGTTAAAATACTCAAACAAACTGTGCAAGAGATTATAAAGCGATGTAATTTGTCAAGTGCCATTCCATAAAATAGTTTTTATGCAATTGTAAATATTATTAAACTAATTTTGATTATTATAATTATGTATAAGGTACACAACATAGAATTAGAAAAAAGAAAACTGTCCAAGAAACAGTCTTCGGGCAACTTAACATAAGGTCTACATCAAGTTAAGTATTTTAGTTTTTAAAGTTCCTTCTGATACGATAGTCGTACCATACACAGTCAATTAATTAAAAATTTAAGGACTTTAGATACTCTAATATTTTAGGTCTTAGTATTAAGAACTTCGATAACATGTCCGTTTCAAAATTCAATGGAAATATCGGCTTTCTCACGTGAACTAATTGAGGACAGCTCTATATCTGATTGGTTGGTTAACTTGGAGCAGGTCAATTTTTGTAACACGTTTAGTTCGAGTGAGGAAGCTACCCTTTTCAATAAATCTGGTATGTATCTGATTTATTATACCAAACTGTTGTTACTGTACGTGTAATATTTTTGTAATAAATAAGTATATTTTCACTTAAACCGATGTTTTATTTACTTTTCGTGTTTGAAGGGATATTTAGTTAAAACCTGTAGTTGTACGTGTCTACCATATAATTTGTAGAAAACATTGAATTTAATCTTCGAATTTTGCGCTTAGTAACTCATTTGGCGTAGATAGTAACAGCGTAGAGTGGGACATGGGTCGGTGACCACGGAGGGCGGCTAACGTAAACAATCTCACACGTGGAAATGAACGCGCACTACGTATACTTGTATTATAAGTGTACGATGGAGATAAGAGACCAACAGTTTCATTAAAGCTTGCGCGTCTCCCAAAGCGGCGAGCTCGACGGTACCACGACAGGCCGTGGTGTTCAAATATGTTTACAACATCATCACAACGACAACGATGAGACGGGCATAAGGTAACTGCAATCCGAGGGCAAACTGACTCACAAATAGTGATCTCTTGCAATTCCTTAGTGGCTAAGGAGGACGACGGCAGCGCGAGCAGTCAACTGCCAATGTCCCGCCTCCCATTCTCTATCAGGCAACAGGCGTGCTCCCTCAGCAGATAAACTCTTCTTCATGTGATAGGGACGGCATACGAGCAGACGGATTACCTGATGGAAAGCATTCAGCGCTGCCCATGGACTTCTGGGAATTAGGGATTGGGGGAGGGGAAGGATTGGGCCTCTGATAACCTCACTCACACAGCAGAACACACAACGCTCTGGTTGTTTCACGCCGATTTTCTGTAAGGCCGTGGTATCACTCCGGTCGAGCCGACACATTCGTGCCAAAGCATGGCTCTCCCGCATTTGGAACTACAGGAGTCTAGCAACTTGCAGCTGACTGGTCTGCAGCACTTTGTAGGTATATTGTCTTAGGGAGAGTGATTGGTTCTAAAAGCGTTTACACCGCTCGAGTCTCACGCAAACTTTCAAATCAAACATCATAAAAACTACTGAACCGATTTGAATGAAACATACTACATTAACATCAACGTGGTGGTCTGGACATGATGACGCCCGCTTCTCTCGCATGAAAGTTCGAAACCTGGCAAGTACCAATGTGACCATTTTGCGAGTCATATGTTCTTTCTATGATTATTTAGACACCACTGACATACGGTGAGGGAAAACATCGTGAGGAAACCTGGACTTATAATTTCCTATTTAAGTATGACTTTTATAATATCGCCAATCCGCCTTGAGCAAGCGTGGTGATTAATGCTCAAACCTTCTCCGTGTTAGAAGACGCCTTTGCTCAGCAGTGGGCACTTGCAGGATGGTGACGAATTGCTTATTCCGGAAATTGTTATTGTTGATTAACTGAAATGAAATAATTGAATATCCTAAGTACTCTATCTCTAAAATCTCTCTATTTGACCTCATTGTAGAATCTTCGAAGCGTGGCTATCAGCCGCGCGAATTACTTAGGTACTACTAAAGAAAGAAATCATTATAAAATAAGTAGGCAAGTAAATAAACTTCATCTTCTGTAAGGTAGAGCTAATTTTATTTGTTACAATACGTTATTATCTACTCTTAGTGAAAACTGAATCATCACTTTAGATAATTAAAACTTGTTTAGGTTTTATTTCGCCGGGCTCTCGATTCAAGGCCGCGATACGGAATAAATAATAGCTATTCCTATTTGCGATCCAGTCGTCTACTGCGCAGTTTCGAGTGTGACGCGGCCTCATTTGTAGTCTGTGCTTAGGCTGTGTAGTGGCGCCCAAAACTCACAAAGTCTAGGTGCCGTGTGACGATCGTGACGAATGGAACTATATTGATCAACTCGTAGTGCCTAGTCTACATTCGGCGACCGCGCCATTCGGACGTCCGCCTTCGCCAATTTTGTTAAACAAACGCTTTAATTAATTACTTTGCAATTCGCAATATTACAAAAACAAATGTACTAAGCTGTCAACAACGAGTAGTCTAAAGGTAATTATTAATCAGTCTTCGTGCATTTACTTGTGAATTGTGTTTCTTTGTGTTATAAAGTGTTGTTACCTCACAAGTGTTTGTTGTCATAAACTTTTAAGTGTTTCTCTGATAATAATAGAATAAACGAGGTGTGTTTTCCTATAAGTGCGCGATAGTAAGTAATTCTACATTCTAGGAACTTCAGTTGTGTCGTGAATGCTGTTACAAACACATGATTTTATCTGTATTTATATAAATGAATCGCTAAATGTGTTGCTAAGCGCACAGCTGGACAACGCCTGGATGAAATTAGCCAATTATTTTTGTTTTGTTTGTTATTATCATTATTATTATCATGAGAAAGAAAATTTTAGAAACAGTAGAGAGTTAGTTTATGTACATATACATAAATTTTGGACACCCGTGCGATGCCGGGCGTTCCACTTGTTGCAAATGTATAGATGTATAGATAACACACCCGATACATAATGTGAAGCAGCCAGTCGCCCAGCCTGTAACTATTTAGGTACTCGTCTATATATCAATCTCCAATTATGTAATAATGAGCAGATGAGTTCATAGTTGTCCTTAAAGGCACTCAGATTAATAATTAAGCATCTAAACTAGGTTTTCAGATTATTCGTCGACGATTTTCAATTTTTTTTTTTATCTTTGAGATGGGATAGTCATCGAATGCGGTTGGTGCGGTGGCTGGGCAACGGAACAACTCTTTGTGTGATCCACAAATTGTTGTTCCGGGTCTGGGTGTAATGTGCATGTGAAATTGAATGTTTGTAACCGCACCCACGACACAGGAGAAAATCCTAGGGTGGAGCAACGTTTTTAAAAAAATATAAAAAAATTGTTTCTCAGTCCCTGGGTGGGGCGAGAGAGAGAGAGAGAGAGTCAGACTCTTATTGACGAAAACTATCCCGTTCTTTCTTCTGCTCCAGGCCGAGTTCGTACATTGTCCAAAATCTAAGTTTAGATGTAATTATTTAGGAGGAAATGAAGACGTCAATCAAGGAAAACCTGTGCTATGTGGCCCTCTCAAATATATTATGCAATTTATAAAATACTAGATACTCTCACGCGGTTTCACCCGCTGCTCAGCTCCATTTGATCGAAGCGTGATGTTTTATAGCCTATAGCACTCAGAAATATTTTAACTATCTATCAGTGAAAGAATTGCGCCAATCCGACCAGCGGTTCCAAAGATTACTCCCTACATACAAACTTACAATCTTACAAATTTTACCTCTTTATAATATTAGTATTATATAGAAGTATAGATCATTAACAAGCCTATGCTTATTTTACAATAAAGTAACAAAAAACAAAACAAAAGCTTATTGAAAACGTATTTGTGATGTGTATGGTGTATATGAGAAACTGCTGAAGAGTGGGCAGTTACCTATGGGCTGATGATCACTAGGACAATATGATGATGATGATGATGATGTGTTTGCTCACAGATGGCTGATGAACTGGACCTTGACGTTGCTCCTGGTGACTTGAGCGAAGAATGTCGCTTGTTTCTTCGGGAACGATACCGTGGACGAAGCCTGCCTCCCAACTTATCTGGAATCCTCAATCAGGTATAGTGTTTAAATACACTCATATATGTATGTATGTTATATAAAAGAACATTATTCAGTATAACATAGAGTATGATTCAGAATCGTACAATTGTTATCTATATAAAATGTTTTATTACATTTTCAATGTAAGCTCTATGGCCTTAGATACGGAGGCGCGGCACGCGATACATTGCTCGTTATGTTCATAGCTAAATTTGTGTTTACGCGGGCGATGTCCCGGTCTGCTGTAATGTATGACGAACGATGTCCCCTGTAGGCGTAACCGCGGCCTAAACATTGACAGAAGCACACATGTAGTACATAAGTACATGTACTACACAGTCACATGTGTGAGTCATATGTATAATAACATCACAATCATGAATCGAAAGTGTACAAAGGCGCTGTAATGAGTTCGCGCCGCCCTAGCTATGGTGGCACAAACAGACCACCGACGAATTATTATTTAAAACATGTAATTATGAATGTATCTTCCCGTAATAAGTAAAAAAAAGATATTATGTGGTAGAGTAGACAATATGTCAATGATTCAATCCGGTCCGGCTCCAGTAAACAATACTCAGACACTGCCAGTAGCTGCTCAAACTCCAAGAATAAATTATTAATATCCAGGGTGTAAATCTTATCAAACATTCCTCTTTTGATTTGAAAGATTTAATCAATCAGTCTGTTTGTATAGAATCATAATTTCATACAAGTTAGACTCGCGGTATCACCCGCTGCTCGGCTCCTACAGTTCGTAGCGTGATGTTTTATAGCCTATAATGCCTATATCCTCGATAAACACAAAAATAATTGTTTAATTCAAACCAGTAGTTCCGGAGATTAGCCCTTTTAAATAAACAAACTCCTCTGCTTTATAATATTAGTATAGATTGTTAGTGCGTCATTGTACAGTTAAACGTCATATAATTTAAAGTACCTATAATGTTTTTTATGAAATGACCACACTTAAGGTCCTACTAATTTTGATGTGGTATCATTACATTGTTTTCAAATATAGAAATGAATCGCTCAACTCAACAACGCCTGGGTCGATTCAACCAATTCTTTTTTTGGTATATTTGTTATTGTGGAAAAGTAGAGGGGAGAGATGGTAATAGGGACTCTTTCGTCGTTAGCTAGATAGTTGGAGAACCGAGCAAAGCAAGTGCGGATCGCTAGTATAAAATAAAATAAAGGATTGAAATAATGTATCAGTGAGATTGTAATAAATATATTTTTTTAAAGAGAACTTTTACAGTTTCTTGCTTAGTAGTTCTTCTCCATATTTTTTTTTGTCATAGGAAAATCATCCAATGACTTCTCCCCCCCCCAGGGTAAGGCGAGAGAGAGTGTCAGACTCTTACTGACTAAAAACCCCCCCGTTCCTTCTCCTGCTCTGGGCCGAGGTCGCGGTGCCTCATTGCGCTTACCCCGCAGCCCCGGCTAAACATCAGCCCTTTAGGGCCCCGACTGTGGTGGTCTATTGGCTCTTTGAGGCGCGCGCGGAACGCTACGCGCCGTACGCTCGGGTCCGGTTCTGGTCGGGCGGCGAGCAGTTCTTCTCCATATGAAGTTACATTTTGCAACGAGCACTTAGCTTCACTGACGGACAATTCAACTTTGACGTTTCAACAGTGCCTTTTGCCAGCCAATGTGAATATTCTCAGCATTATTTGTTTTTACCGAAGCAAAAGCTAAATAAACATTGATACAATGAATGTATTTTTACAATTATTGGCTAGTAAACGGCATTTTTACACGTCAAAATTATATGTGAAAAGCTAGATGAAGCCGCCATTTCCTATCTGACTACTCTGAGAAGAAATGCCGAAACAACCTGAGAGGTCGTTGAGTTGGAGAAACTGATGACGTCACAGCTAGAAAATACCGGGTGTAAAAAGACACTTAACGAAGCCGAAAGCCACGTATTCTACCCATTATTTGGATCATTTTTTAGCTGGGACTCCACGGGTTCTCGAAATATTGAAGGTCAAAGATGCATTTTTAATTTTTTTTTGTGCAATCGAATTCTAAATATTATTACAAAACTTTTTTCCAAACAAACATTACTTAAATTTTTCTAAATAAATTACGCATTTGAAGTTACGAACAGTAATGTACGTAATAAATAACATCGTGCATCTCAGTAGGATTTTTATTTTACAGAATTGTTTTGTTGTTGCGAAGTAAAACGTCGACCTACGTACTTATCACAGCGTTTTCATGCTAAGCTGTGAACCTACGCACACAATGAAACGAAGCCCGTTTGCTTTACATTGCGCGCAATAAAATTATTATTTTTTTGATACCTAAAAATAAAAGTCGTTTCCCAGTGATAATAATTTTAGCGTAAAGCTACTTAGATCTGCAGTATGCGTAGTTAACGGCTTCGTTAAGTGTCTTTTTACACCCTGTTTATGATATAAAGCACACACACAAGCGCTGATGTAACATTTCCAATTCTTACACTTAAATTCATTTTTTTCATGATAATGACTTTTGTAGGTTTTTTAATTCACACAATAAATAGGTTTCTTATATATTTTCTAGATAAATTTCAATAATTCTAATCATGTCATACCCCTTAGCAGACTGGAGGTTGTGGAGCACAGACCCTGGAAGACTTGGAGCGTAACCTCACAGCCAACGCGCAAGGCCAACAAGCTGGCGCCGCTAAGGGAAAGAAACCTGCGCCTGAGCAGAAGGTAACTCCAAATTGTGTGGAGTCATACCACGGCCTCACAGAAAACCTGAAATAACCACAGTGTTGTGTTTCGCCGTGTGTGTGAGGTTACCGGAGGCCCAATCCTTTGCATTGACGCTCTAGAAGCGCTGCAGAGCTCAATTGACCTGCTAGACATGTGATTTGTGGCCAGAACTGTGACTTTTCATCCATAGTAATTCCCATCTTTTATTCTGGCCGACATTTATTGGGTTTTGCACTACCGATAGATTTTAACAACGGATACACTTGACTATGTTCCATAAAATCCGGAAAACAGACACTTTTTGACATTTCTTTTGAGACGATCAATATAAAAAGTTTGGACATGACTCTCAAGGCTTTCGTAGCATTGACAAAGTATTTTTGAAAAAGCTTTATTATTCTTCGGGAACGTTCCAATTTCAAGCGGCTATTTTCATAAAAGCAACACTATACAAGTGAATTCTCCTGTGTCGTGGTTGCGCTTACAAACATACAAGTTCACATAGACATCACACTCCGACCCAGAACAACAATTTGTGGATCACACAAAGAGTTGTCCCTGCAGGAATCCAACCCGCGACTAATCGCTCGACAGCCGGTCGACCGCGTCAACCGTGCAGTCATATAATAATATATTATCGAAATTTACATACTCTGTTATATCTACTCCTTAGCAGACTCAAAGTGGTGGTGCACAGACCTCACAAGCTTCGGGGAGCGGCGTCAAGGCCAACGCGCAAGGCCAACAAGCTGGCGGCGCTAAGGAGAAGAAGCCTGCGCCTGAGCAGAAGGTAACTATGCTGTAGTACGAACACTGATTGTGGCCATTCCTAATAACCTGCTGTAGGTAGACTAGGCAAGTTTATTTTCATGTTTCATTTTAGTAACAGGGATGTTAGGGATATTGAGCCTTACAGGTTATAGTTTTTAATGTCAATCCTAGGCAGTTTTGATCGAATTTAATGTAACTGAGACTGACAAAGTATCAAGTAAAGGGCAAGAAACTTAATGAGTACTTATGTTACTTTTTCCAAACGAAATTCCTAAGATTATTTATACACCACTGACGAAGGGAAACATGAGGTGAGGAAACCCGATATTTTCTTTAATTTCTGATTTTGAAATCGCAAATCTGTTTTGAGCAAGTTTTTTTTGGTCTATTTGCCAATTTCACAAAAGAGTCTCGCCCAAATACGCGCTACCTCCTTGCAGGCTGTTGCAGAATGATCTTGTTAATATGAACACCAATCATGTAGTGCGAGGCCCTCTATTGGCTGTAGTTGAGTTGAAGGTGTGTTGCTTGCCGGTAATTGGTTGCACATGTTGTTTGACTTAACTTAACTGTCCAGCAAATACATGACAATGAATGGTTAAGTACATTCCATAGCTGGTTGTTTGATTTCGTATTATAATCTTAACTTAAGTCTGCCTAACTAGAACGCTTTGTTTACACTCAGGCTACAAGAACACCAAGGAAAAGAAAACCTGAAGATGAAGAGCTCGTCGCAAAGAGGAATAAATGTTATGAACTTCGCTCCGAGTATAATAAATACAGGGTCGAGTTCCGTCACTTCCAGGACCACAGGACGGCGAACAGACAAAAAGAGCAAATAAAACATACGTACGGACAACTGCAAACTCAAATAAAGAATTATAAGCTGTTCGTTGAAAAAAAGAAACTCGATATAGACGAAGATATTTTAAATCTGGACAAACTAATTACTGGCACAAAGGAAAATAACTACCAGAAAACTGTCGAGGAAGAAGAATGCGAAAACACTGAGAAAGAACCACAGATAAGTATCGCGAAAAACAACGAGAACACCTATAATATAATTATTAAAATCCCAAAATAAGTTACATGTAAGAACAACGCGCGGGAGAGTTCGGGAAATGTACATACCTATAAGATGAATTAATATTGTAAATCTCGGTATAGATGAACTTCGTATATAATATTATACCATATAGAGCTAATTACGGGTATAATGTGGCAACAACAAACACCTCTTTTGTTCAGCGAAGCTTTTCTTTCTTCTCTCTCTCTCTCTCTCTCTCTCTCTCTTTCTCTCGTCTGAGGGGATGTCAAACTCTTACTGACTTTAAACGACCCCGGTGTCCAGTCTTTGTGTCAAAGATATGCTTTGACCACCGTCTCTAGTCCCAACGTGGTGACTTCCTAAAGTCATTAGGTATTGGACCTATTTAGAGGAGTTAGAAGAGGGCTTTTAATGAGCTAATTATTTTCCGAGTGACTAATAACTTAAAAGTCGACTAAATGTTTGCAACGAATAAAATAACTTGCCAGCAATTAAATATTTTCGCGACTATTATATTATGTAAGGTTCAAAATTAAGGGTGTTATAAAAACTAAAAACTAGCAGCTACGTTTGGGTGGCAAATAAACTATACCAGTCAATTGAAATATTAGGCGAGGAGCTATATATAATGACTTGGCGACTAATAATGTTAGTAGGGTGGCAAATATAATATATTACCAACTATTTCGTGCCATCTAAAAACCCAGTTTCAGGCGTCGCTTTGCGGACAGCTCTAAATGTTAAAAGGAATATAATAAAAAGGAATAAGCGTTAATTATTAATATTTTTTTTATTATAATTTCGTGAAAACGGCGGAAGATGCGATGGTTGGATACGAGTGTAGTGCGGGGTGGCGGGGTGCGTGTGGGTGCACTGCCAGCCAATGGCAAGCGGCGCGGGCGCGGGATTGTTATTGTTTTCATTATTCGCCAGTAATGTGTGCAACTAACACCAAATTACCGAATTACCAGTTTTTAGAGATTTATATATGGAGATGAGTCTTTTAGAGTTAGCTGGACCAAGTCGTGAAATAAATTGTGATGAAGGAGTGTCGGATTACTATTCAAGTGGAGCAGAATGATCGGATCAAGGACCAACGAAACCCAAACGTGGACGAAACAAAGTTAGGGTTTTTAAATCTAAATTTTCAAACTTGAAAGAGGCGGAAGATTTCGTGAATTCAAAAAATACTTGGTCTCGGAAATTTACGCGAATGACAGAAGAGGGGCAAAAACGTTTGTACAGGTGTAACAAAGTTCGGAAGAAGGGACCACAGTGTGCGGCGGAACTTTATTTGTTATTTGAGAGTGGAACCGACAATGTTCTTGCATATCATACAGATGCTGAAAATAATCACGAAGATATTGGCACTCAGGGCGACTACGGCATCGACGCTCGTACTTAAACAGAAATCAACAGACTCTTTGACTTACATTTGAAGCCTAAAGCTATATTGGCTTCTCTTCAAAAAATTGATGGAATAAAGTTGCCTACAAAAATTCAACTAAATAATTATTTAAGTGATAGGCGGCGCGTGAAATTCGGACACCATACTATTCACTTAGGTGAATTAGAAAAGTGGATAAATACTGTATTCTGTGATTTTTTAAAAATAAATAAAAGTAATTACTCTTTATATGTTTTTTAATTTATTCACCTATAATTTTGAAAATAAAAGCCGCAAAATATTTTTTCTTCATGCCATTTTAGAGTTTATTTAAAGCTATTAAAAGGTCGCACAATATATGTATAATATAAGCTAGTTTATATTTATTCTTCATACAAATAATTTTAGATAGAATCTGATTTGTATTATTTATGAATGCCCATTTTCTATTTTATTTTCATCATTAAGTTTTGGCTTAGATATTAATTCAGTTCCCAAAAGAAAAACTTGATGCTAGTTTAATTTAAAACGGAGCTTATAACTAATATATAAATATGCTACCTTTTACTTCTAACGATACTCCTCATTAGCTGCCAACCCATTATAAATGGTAGCCATTCTATTATTTTTTAGAACCTATATTCATTTTACTTAGTCGCTGCATTAAATACATGCCCTTTTAATGTACGCCCGTCTCTTGCCGCGACTTGACGTCTTCGCGACGACAGTCGGCAGTGACCGAACATTTCCACTCTCTGTAAGATGTGAGTGCCATGACGCGCCACGCACTCTTCAATGGACGCTTTGATAGTGCTATCAATATCAAGCTGCGTCACACAGAACAACAGAACCATTGACTTTATTGAGTCATCGAGTAGGTACTGACCGAAATGCCTTGTAGGATACACTCAAGTCAAATACCACCTACATCTACCTACTTACCTCAGATTTTCTTTTAATATTCACGTAATTTAACTATAAACAGTTTTTATTGTTTAGCATTTACTAGATGTTGTTGTAGATATAAATATTTTAATTAATAATATTTTGTTTAAAGTTTCCATGGAGTTTCTTGCCGGTTCTTCTCCATGATGGATGTGTTATGCGGAACCGTGCACACTTTCTCGTTTTACAAAACACACAATTTGATAGCACTTTTTTATACATATTTTCATTTCGTAAATACCTAACATAAGATGACGTCATTAGGTATTTTTAATTCCAAGGATTTAATAAAAAAAATGTGTGTTTTTGTAAAACGTTGAAAGTTTTATTTAAGTGTTTTAATAGTTTTACCTAGTACTTAAATATGTTCAGAAAAAACAATACACAAATGACTAGGGCGCATTCATGTCCAATTGGTTACATCACATGACACATATGTATTGAAATATAAAATATAAAATGAAATATAATATTGAAATATTGTATCTTCGAACTATGCACGGAATCAGTTAAAGGTACCAGATCTGCGTTGCGGCAGGCTTATTCCATTTCCATCAAGTTCCTGAAAATATTTCAAGCAAGTTCCAGTCATCTTAGTGTTAGTTATCCTACCAATCTGTTGAGCGCTGTCCCCTTTTTTATTTCGTAATGTGCAGGCATTTGGCCTCCATCACGCCTGGTGGCAAGCGATGCGGCCTACGATGGAGCACGTCTACCCATAAGCAACATATTCCCTCGGGCCTTGAAGACACCCAGGTTATTCGAGGAACACAGACCTCGGCAAAGAATTCCAGTTCTTAACTGCACGATGTTAAGTCAGCGAAGTAATACGTTTTTGTTAATCTGTCACACACGGCAACAAGGGTAAGCACGTTTCCAGTTGTTAGAACTTTAAAATAGTTTTTATATTATGTTAGTTATAGTTGCAAACTAAGTACAAATACTTATTTGATATAATTTGTATAATTGACTGAAAGGAGGCCTATTATAATTCTCCGAAACGAAATTTTTTTCAACAGAACAGAAGTATCGTAGGTATACTAGTTTACGAGACAGGTTATGAAAAACTATCAGGTTTATGAGTTGGGATTTATCAAAACTGTTAGGTAATCTATATGTTTATATATTTTTATATTTCGTTTTCGTTTCGTAGAATGAGAGCAGATTTCGTAGAATGATGTAGCTCCGGATCCTATGCTATAAGTCAAAGACCATGTGCCTACATCCATAGATATAACAGAACTATAATAATTGTTTATGTAGCTATTTATAGAACAAAATACTTTGAAGCGCTTCAAGCGTACAGTTTCAAATACATTTTGTAAAGATTTTTGTAATAAATAAAAATTTTCTCTTAATCCCATGTTTTATTGACAACTTTCTTACGCTCGCGGGTTTGATTCGCTCTACCTTATTTTGTCAAATCCATGAACATAAAAATACAATAATACTTTATCTATACTTATATTTTAAAGAGGTAAAATTGGTAAGTTTGTATGTAGGGGGTAATCTTTGGTACCGCTGGTCGGATTGCCAAAATTTTTTCACTGATAGATATCTACAATGTTCCTGAGTGCTATAGGCTATAAAACATCACGCTACGATTAAATGGAGCCCAGCAGCGGCTAAAACCGCGCGAGAATAGCTAGTATGATTATATTTTAATACTAGTTCTTATCTGCGGCTTCGCAACCGTCATTTGAGTACCTACACCATCTATCCTACTTTACCTATTCTATCCTATGTCCTTGTCCCAGTTCTTAGCTACCTCCCTACCAATTTTCAGCCAAATCGGTACAGCCATTCTTGAGTTATAAATAGTATAATTAACACGACTTTTTTCTACATAGGTATATTTTTTGACCTAGGAAACCCACTCAACTCAATCTGTTCTCAAGATTTGAGCTTGGGATCGAGTACCTAATTCATTTTAATATACTTTTCATATTTTTGTTTTTCTATCACACTTAATACTAAAACTACAAATATCTACCGATAAAGCTTTACAAAAACCTACTTCAATCTTAGATGAATAGAATTTGTAGGAAACATCCAAGTGATACCGCAGCCTCACAGGAAACCGGCGTGAAACAACCACAGCGTTGTGTTTCGCCGTGTGAGTGAGGTTACCTACCCGGGGCCCAATCTCTCGCCCCATCCCTTCTCAATCCCTAAATCTCTAAAACCCGAAGGCCCAATCCTTTCCCTCTCCCGATCCCTCCCCAATCCCTTAATCTCCAAAACCCTAATCCCTAAGAGGTCGGTAACGCACTCGTAACTCCTCCGTTGCAGGTGTCCATGGGCGGCGCTGATTGCTTACCATCAGGTAATCCGTCTGCTCGTTTGCCGATCTATTACATAAAAAATACCCTAATATCCAAGAGGTCAGCAACGTACACGTTACTCCTCCGTTGTTGCGGGTTTCCACGGGGAGTGCTGACTGCTTACCATAAGCTAATCCACCTGTACGTATTCCGTCCTATGACATAAAGAAATCTTGTATTCGGCGCTTGCCAACATACTTGGTGTGTAGTTACGAATAGAGCGCAGGGTGGACAGCAGTACCAGTGTAAAGAGAGGACGCGGCGGAGAACTGCTCGCAAAACAAAAGAGTACGCACGATTAGTGGTTTTTAGTAAAACTAAATAATTGATCGGAGGAAAAGTGGCACCGTAAGTAAGTATCGCGCCGTGGGCTGGCCACGTCGCTCGAAGGACAGACAGCCGGTGGGCGTGGGCAGACCTCCCGTTAGGTGGACCGACGATTTCGTCAGAGTCGCGGGGAGTCAATGGATGCAAGTGGTAACTTGTCGTTCGATGTGGAGAGCTAAGGGGAGGCCTTTGTCCAGCAGTGGACGTTTTCCGACTGATGATGATGATAAGTAATAAGTATATTGATTTATAACATAGGTTAATGAAAATAAACGACAGGTTATTGTTTGAAATGAGATATTTAATTATAAGTTCGATCACATGAGTTTAAAACTTGGCTTTCTCCATGTACTGCGCGGCTCGCTGCCGTATGACCTCGGCCTGGTCGTGGTCTCCCATCCTCTCCTCCACCTCGATCCACTTCTTGTACAAAATCTTCATTTTCCTCGCCGGCAACGTTTGCGATGTCATGCGCTCCATTACTTGCCTGTGTCATTATAATTAATATTATTAGCGTCACTTGTTTTGTCTTTATAACCTAAGTTTACTTAAACAGAAAATATCTAGAACAATCCAAGTCTTATACAAAAACAAACTTATAGGGTTACTGACCTGACATGCTCCTTATCACCGTTTTTCACCAGCATATCGACGTAAGTGCTGCATACATCGACGCGGGCGGGGTACACCGCCAGTACCTGCTCGAACAGAGCCTCCGCTCGCTCCCGGCCGCCGTTACGGTTCTCCATCAACGCGAACTGGACTAGTACCGTCACATCTACACAGAAACATCATATTCAGGTGTTATACTCACCATAAAAGAAGTTTGCCGAAATATCTAAGCTTTTTTTTTTTGTAGAAATACTCCTCTCGGCCAGGGTAACACAGCGTTGTGGTTCACCATATGAATGAGGTTACCAAAGGCTCAAAACTTCCCCTTCCCAAATCACTAAATCATGACGGCAACGCACTCTTCCGTTGTTGCAGGTGTCCATGAGCAGCGTTGATTGCTTACCACCAGGTAAACCGAATGCACGTTTGCCTCAAGGGCATGTCAGACTCTTACTGAATAAACCCGCCCATCGTTCCTTCTCCTGCTCTTTACCCCAGGCCGAGGAAGCGATTCCTTATTGCGGCTCGAGAGACGGTTTAGAAATTATAGTTAAGTGTCTAGCTTATGAGAAAGCGTTTATGCCAGGTCTATGTTATCTATGTATGTAGTCTCTTATCCGTCTCTTGCGTTGCCAGAAGAGCAGTAATTACAAATATAAATATTCTGCACTACCATAACCACAAAGACACACATGGCACTTAACTAATCCAAACTAATATTATCAATGCTAAAGTAACTCTGTCCGTCTGACGGTCTGTCTTTTCTTCACGCCTAAACTACTTAACCTATTTGTGTGAAATTTTGTACAGACATAGTTTGGAATTCGAGAAAGGACATAGGATAGATTTTTAAAAAAAATCTGCGGTGCAAGTCACTATTCCACGCGAAAAAAGTCGCGGGCAAAAAGTAGTTGTAAAATAAATTTGCCTTTTTGTCTATACAGGAAAGACATGAAAATGTGGCTAATTTTCTAAATCAAAATAATCAAAGGCAAAATAAAATTTAAGAAGCAGAGAGATCGATATTTCAGTTGAATTCTTTTCAAAATGAAAATCTATCATTTCATTTTACTATTCATTATGCTACGTTTGCTCGAGAAATATTCAGTTATTTAGCACTATTAACTTTTTAGCATAAAAATAGGTAGAAAACACTTACGTTCTTTTTTGTCGAGTAGAGAAATAGCTTTTTGCATCACCTGAAAAAAAGTTCCAGTTAAACTTTCATACATAATTATATTATGTTTATTATTCATATATTGTCCGCTTTTCGTGCATGATGGCGCGGGTTCGAAACCTGACAAATACTAATGTGAGTTTTTCCAAGTTACCCCTAATGTACTTTCATCTGGGAAGTGATCGAAGGCGACGATCTCTCGCACCCGGCCTTAGTCGAGGCCATGGTGCGGAGTGAGAGGAACTGGGACGCCGTCTCCTTCTTCTGTGAAGCAGTTATGCTCGCAAAGAGGGAGGCGGCCCGAGTGAGGGAGCAATCCTCCTCCTCACGCCCCAGCCGCCGCAATAGGCGACACTACGAGCGTCGGAGATCAAGGGACGATCTCCGGCCACCGTAAACGCGGGTCTGCGGTCGGCTAGTAAGGGCAGCTCGCCGCCTGACCAGAATCAGGCCGGAGCATACGGCGCGTAGCGTTCCGCGCCTATGGTCAGTCGGGGTTGCGGGGTAAGCGCAATGAGGCACTGCGACCTCGGCCCAGAGCAGGAGAAGGAACAGGGGGGTTTTTAGTCAGTAAGAGCACTCCCTCCCGCCCAGCCCTGGGCGAGAGAAGCCATTTGATGATTTTCCCCTCACAAAAAAACCCCTAATGTACTTTCGAAGTCTATATAGACACCACTGACAAACGGCGAAAGAAATTATCGTGAGGAAACCTGGACTAATTATTTCTAATTATACCTAAGTTTGAAACCGCCAATTCGCCTTGAGTAGGCAATGTGATTAATGCTCAAATCTTCCGTGTGGGAAAAGAGGTCTTTGCTCAACAGTGGGCAGTTATAGATTGATGATAAAGAATCCGCCTTCAAGACAGCTTGCCAAATTTGATTTTTTTTTATAATTTGCCGCTCGGTATCACTTGGTCTTACGGTAAGTACAACTATGTAACTTAGAGAGGGTGTTTTATGTGTCATTTATTATAGTAAAAAAACTTGTCGTTGCAAAAAAACGTCATCAAAGTTGAATATCGCGCGGCACTGTGGGGCATCCTTAAGAAAATAGAAGATAACAATACTGAGTACTGTTCCTTTGAAAAAAGCTGATAAGTGAATTTAATACACTTACGAGTCACCAAGTTTCACCTAGTACCTACGCAGAGGATCCAGTATCATTATAATGCGCACCACTCTAGACAAAAACAAGTTCAAACATGTCGAAACATGTTCCAGAATAAACTTGAGAAATGGCTACGCCAACAATTCGAGTGCTATTAATAAAACAATAGGTGGTAATTGTAAAACAGAAACATTGTAAGAATCACTGTTTGTGTCGCCCCAGCATTACTCGAAACTAGTCGGGTTAACTCGTCAGTTTCGTGATAAAGCATTAGATATAACATTAAGTATGTATATGCCATCTGGCAAATAGGGGTGCCAACTGAAAATCAGTCGGCAACCATTCGGTTGGGCATGTCTGCCAACCCCCGAGTAGCATGATTTTTTATTATTATCAGTCTGTTTTACGATGTATTGTTATTTTGTTTTAAAGTGTGGGAGAGCCATGCTCCGGCTCGAATGGCGCGATCAGATTGATACCACGGCCTCACAAAAAACCGGCGTGAAAAAACTACAGCGTTGTGTTTCGCCGTGTGAGTGAGGTTATCGAAAGCCCAATCCTTCTCCTTCCCCAATCCCTCCCGAATCTCCAAAACCTAAAAGTTACTCCTCCGTTGCGGGTCTCCATGGGCGGCGCTTATTGCTTACCATCAGGTAATCCGTCTGCTCGTTTGCCGAACTTATTACATATAAATAAAAAAATGTCTTTTTAAACGTTTTGTTGCTTCTTTTATGTTGTAATTTTTTTGTTGGTCATGAATTTCATGTCTGATGCCGAGATAATGCATTTTTCTTTCTTTCTTTCAAATGAACAAGAATACGCTAATCAAGTTTGTGGAATCTGGTAAGTAACCGACCTGGCGCGCCTTCTCCACAAGCCCAAGTTGGAAGCAGGCAGCCCCGCACTGTATGTACATGCTGGGCTCACGCTTGTACTTCCTCATCATCAGCTCCACCAACGCGACCAAGTCCTGATGCTTGCCTGTCTCCACGTAAATGTCGAGCAGTTTCGAGTGGATCTTCTGTGGTTCGTTCATTTGAAGTGCTTCCTCTAGTACCTTCTGTAAGGATTCCTGGAACAAATATTACATCTTTATCAACTAGTACTGGAAATATTTGAGATTCTGTTACAGTATCATATTTCACAACTCAAAGTGACGACAACGCAATCACTCGGTGATATCACAGAAGTAAAAATATATCCACATATCTAAGGATGCATGGAAGCTGATTTTTCAATAGTAAGAGAAATGTTATATGAGGAATAAAAGTGTTGCTGTCACTGTATTATACAATCATTCTGACGCGATGGGGTAAAATTTGGAACCGCTGGTCGGATTTCGAAAATCTTAAATGGAGCCACGCAGCGGGTGACACCGCGCGAGAATAGCTAGTAGGTAATAAAGAAATAATACCTAATAGTTTAAATGTGGGAGAGCCATGCTTCGGGACGAATGGGTCGGCTCGACCGGAGTGATACCACGGCCTCGCAGAAAACCGGCGTGAAACAACCACAACGTTGTGTTTCGCCGTGTGAGTGAGGTTACCGGAGGCCCAATCCTTCCCCTACCCCAATTCCTTCCCAACCCCTAAATCCCCAAAATCCCAATCCCTAAAAGGTCGGCAACGCACTCGTAACTCCTTCTTTGTTGCGGGTGATTCCATGGGCAACACTGATTGCTTACCATCAGGTAATCCGTCTGCTCGTTTGCCGTCCTATCACATAAAAAAAAGGAAAAAAATACTCTTATAATGGATATTAGTTCTACATTTAAATTGTCCATTCCAGGAAAAGTAAGCAACCACGCGTTCGCCGCATGATAAGAATAAAATATGCCGTTTTAATAGGAATTAGTCACTGAATATGTGAATAATTATTTATGTGTGTGTGATATATACGCATCGACGCCGCGATGCCCTCTTAGGAATCTGGAAATCCCGACTAAAATAAAAGATAAAACGAACTCGATAATTTTTACATTACGATCATAAATTTAAAGTAGGTACTATAAAGGTACTATAAAATATTTAGTGTTTTTTTTTGTCAGCGTATTTATTATTATTCCAGACTAGAATCTACTTTAAAGGTTTCCTTCAGATTAGACAATCGTTTCTCATTAGTCAAATGTATTAATAAGTTGTCGTAGGACGTCTGACTCTTACTGACTAAAAACATACAAACTTACAAACATACAATGTTACAAATTTTACCTCTTTATAATAATAGGTTTTTACCTATGAAATTGCCGTTTTGCATGAAAAAATTTAAACGATTTTTTTGATTTGAAATGCGATGAAAATGTAACACTAATCAATAAACAAATGACTACTTTTGGAAAAAGAATCCCATGTTTTTAAAACAAAATTAATTAGCCTTAGCCTAAAAAAAACTATTTTGATTTGAAATGGCCAGTACTTCAGAACGGCAACTTCATAGGTAAAGACCTATTATTAATATAGATTAGTAATATAATCGTATCTTTTATCTTTGATGTTTTTTTAAGAATATTAGCAGTTATTGGTATCGTTGTTCTTAATTAGGAAAACATTACGCTATTACTGACTCATGCATTCAATATGTACGGGTATTGAGTAGTTAACTCCGTACACTGATTTGTCGTGAAGATTTGTAAGTTGAGTTAGTATAGGTAGAGAAACACTTTTCCACTTAAATAGACACGTTAAGTATATTTATGTAAAAGTAAATTACAACAGTGGAAGGCGATTATTTCTCTTAGTTGTTGATAGCTACTAAGTTGTAAGTTTACTATATTATAATATGTCCGTCATCTCATTTTATTATGCGGCAGTGCGGGGCGCCTCGTTGGCCGAAAGTAGGTTGACGAGTAAGCAAGAAAAATGTACGGCGATGAGACCGTACATATTGGCAACCCCCTAAAGAAGCAAAATTGAGTAGAGAGAGAGAGAAAGAAACGCCTTTACAAAATCAAAAAAATGAGTAAAAAAGTAAAAATAAATGTAAAATAAGTAAAATGAATTAATTAAAAGTAAACGCAATGTTGTCTTGATGTCCTTGACGTTGAACATCGCAACCGTCTGTGGGTGACCGTTGGTTATCTTCTCTGACACTTTGTTGTTGAGATCCCATTGGTTGAAGCTCGATATCTTCATGTATTGGCTTTTTATTTTTCTTCCTTGGAACTCGTGTTTTGAGTACCATGCAGTATTTTCTTGTCATAATCAACAGGAAAGTGATGACAGCAATTGTTAGCAAAAGGTAACAAATTACATATTGATGTACGTCATGGTCTGTGATAGTGGATGGTAGTTTAGGCTCGTGCTCTTCTTGGAACCGAAGCTTTTTGTCAATCTCCGCGAAGTCGTTATTCTTGAGGTGGAACAGATCATGTGGCGTGTTATGTAGTGTCACGTTAACAATGTTGTTTATCGGTGAATTCAGGTGCAGTACGTGCATGTCATAGTTCACATTGAGGTTACTGTTGTACTGATTATGTGAAGTGATGGTGAGATCTTTTGATCGCAGTACGCATCCTTGATCCAAAGTTACTATAGCCGTTGATGTGATTGTCTGCGATATTACGTCGTTATCGCAAACTGTACGTAATTCGCACCTTCCGCAACAAACAACAAGCCAGCTGTTTGATTCATGTAACTTGATCCAGTCCTCCTCGCATGACACGCTATGTACGTCACACGGTGACGTAGAAGTACGGTGACCCAGGAGTTTTGCTTCGCACGGTGCATTTTTGTTATGTAAGTTGAAGACTGGCATGTTAGCGGTGCAAATGAAGTTATGTTTTTGTCCTTTAATACACTGCTTGACATCTTCATCTTTTAATGAGATATAAGAATTCTTTTCAAAGTTTACGGCAATGTACTGTGAAGATAACTGCATCTGTTTGTAATTCGAGTCTCTCTTGAATGGTATAGCAATGGCCCGATAATATGTGAACTCCTCATCCGATATTAAGGGAATGTGAACTTCGAACATAAAGTAGTTCATTGTTATTCTCGCTTTCACGTACAACAACTTGTAAAGTTCCTTAATATCTTCTTTGATATTTTCTGTTGGCAATGACAATGTTCTCGGTAATTTGCCGGCTATGTCTTCTAGTTGTTTTACAAGATTGACTGGTGGTATCAAGTGCACGTCCATATGCCCACTGTATACATTTGTGAGAGTATTCAGAAGCATGGTTTGAATTTCTCTGAGATTTCGTAGCAGTAGGGATGCTGTGAGCGCCGCGGAGTTGAAGTAACTTGTTGCCATCGCTATCTGTATTTCAGTTTCAATGCTGACTAGGTTCGTCTTAGTTTCTTCCATGAACCTTTCTATCATTTTACATTGAAGCTTGATGTTAGCATCGTTTTTCTTCAATACGTCATTTTGCAGTTGCATAATCGACGTTTGATTTTTTGCCAATTCACGTAAATAGTTTTCGTTTTGTTGTATCGCTTCAATGTCTTTGTGGTATTTGTTAGCAAAATTTTGGTCTAAAACGCCGAATAAGCTGTTTGCTATCATGCCCACTCCGTCAATCAGGCCGCGCTTTTTGCGCGATGATAATTGCTTGTGAGGGGCCAGCAGAATTGTATTGTAGAAGTTGAGTAGGTCCATCTCATGGGAAAGTTGATCAATTGTAGGTTTGCAGTAACTTTGGTGGATCTTCTCGCAAAGGCCATACACACCGTTGATGTAACTGTCAATGTGTTGAATGCCGTGCCAGTAGTCAGTTAAATTGTAGTACGTAAGCAACGTCCATTCATCGTGAATCAGTTCAACCTTGCCAACGGTGTCATAATAAATAGGTCTCTCAGGTTCCAGGTTGGTAATTTGAGTGCCTGACCTTTGTTGGGAACCATCTGATCCATTCACAAGTATCAACATTGTGAAAAGAGACATAAATATGTTTGTAAGGCATTTTTTCATAGCTGGTATTCTTGTGGAGGTTTTTTCAGACGTCTCAGCATTTCGTAAGTCTGCTTTACTTTCTTCGTAACCTTTACTGTCAGTGTTGATCGGCAGAATGGATAGTTTTACGATGGGTCGTTTGATAACACCATTTTGGGTTTTTAAGGTTGTCACTCGGACATATCCGTCCGCTCCAGGGTGAAGTTTCAGCACCCGTCCCATGGCCCATTTTCCTGGGGGCAAATTATTGTCCCGGACTAATACGATGTCCCCTTCCCTTAAGTTTTTTCTTGGATTATTCCATTTACTGCGTGTTTGTAGTTGAGAAAGATATTCGCTTGACCAAGTCTTCCAAAACTGTTGGTGCATGTGTTCTGTTAGCTGCCATCGGTTTCTTAGATTTTGTTTGTTTTCATCAGTATAGTCAGCACATGGTAAAGTCATTGTTGGTCCCCCCGTCAGAAAGTGGCCTGGTGTCAGGTAGTTATAAAATTCTTCGGGGTCTTCAGTGAGAGGGCAGAGCGGCCTGGAGTTCATGCAGGCCTCTATCTTGGCAAGCAGGGTAGTGAATTCTTCGTACGTCAGTTTTTGGTCTCCTAGCACTCGACGAAGATGATACTTCATCGATTTGACCGCTGCTTCCCATAGTCCACCAGCCGTCGGCCAGGCCGGGGCATTAAAATGCCATTGAACTCCCATGCCTGCGATGTTGTTGAAGAAGTCAGGGGACAAGATTTGCTTGAAGTCTTCAAATTCTTTCTGAAGCATTCTTGATGCACCGATGAAGTTTGTTCCGCAGTCTGAGTAGACGTGACTTGGTGTACCACGCCTGGAACACATTCTCTGGAAGGCTGCTATGAAGGTGTCAGTACTTAGGTCCGATACAAGTTCGATGTGCACAGCCTTTGTTGCCATGCACACGAATATGCATATATATCCCTTAGAAGTACGTACTCCTCTTCCTTTATTGAGTTTGACTTCGACGTGTCCTGTGAAGTCAACTCCGGTGTGGGTGAACGGTCGTGACGGTGTTACTCGTTGTGGTGGGAGGTCTCCCATTAGTTGGTTAAGTTCCGAAGGCCTGTGGCGGTGACAGCGCACACAGCGCCGAAGTCCAGCTTTTACAGCTCTATTGCCGCCAATGATCCAGTATCGTTGTCGAATATATGCTAAAGTTAG